TTTGAAATAAAAATTTTAGAAAAAATTAGAAAAATTGACTCCGGAAATAGTAAAAGTTACTAACGCAGAAATGCGCAAATATTCCAGTTCAGTTTTTATTTTGCAAATAGTAAAAGTTTATGGATATTTTTCTCCGGATTCATTTCATTATTTTTTTTTATTTTTTTTTCATCCCACAGTGAATATTATTTAGTCCTTTAATATTTTTATTTATTACTTAATTTAACTTAATTATTTTAAATAGAAAAACAATTTTCTATTTTCAAATGACCTCTGTTGTTTTTTTTCTGTTTTTAGTTTCCTGAAGTTTGAAACAAAACTTTCTGAATAATTAACTCTGCAAACGTTGCCTGAAAATTTCATCGAATTTCCTCTATGCATATAATATATATATTTATATATAATTGCAAACAGTTTATCGTGCGGATGAGAGAGAGAAGAAATTTTTGCTTAGCTTCTGTGGAAAAAAGTCAATTATCTAAAATGGAATCAATTCTAAGCACAACTCAATTGTCTTGTTATTACAATTATTTCTCAATGTCTTCTTAGTAAGAAACAATCAATTGCAATGATTCTCAGTAGATTTATTTGTATCATTCCAACTTGACTGGAAATCGATTCTTGCGCCTAAGTCGCTAGTAATTGCTTCTCGATGATCGTGATCATGATGATGATGATTGAGTTAAGAGGAGGAAAAAAAAGAGAGAAGGAAAAAAAAATGTAATGAAATCTCATAATATGGTCTGTACAATTTCCACTTTGACTTATAATTTAATTGAAGGATCACTTCCTTCTGATAAAGTCAAATACTTGTTTTTTCATTCGATTAAAACACGATACATTTTTTTTTCTCCTCCAGTCAATAGTCGTATATTTTATCCAATTTAAATTGATCTTCTGCGGTGTAACTTCAGGAAGAGTTATACTTATTGTTTCTTTTATTTTCGTAAATTGATTTCTTTTAGGTTTGTAATTATTATTCTAGGCTTAGAGTTTTTCTTTAATTTCCTCTAATTTTTTTTTTTTTTTTTTTGTTTCTTTTATAAAAAAAGGAATAAAGTCTAAGTATTTTATTATGACCCCATGTCTTCATTATGATGGAATTGTTAGAAAAAAAAACAGTCGACTATTGATTATTATCAATTTGTTCTTTTCGTATCAAAATAAAATTTCAAGGAAGAAATTAATTCAAATAGGGAGTTAAAGAAGCAAAAACCAGTAGCCGGAAACGCTTTTGAATATCGAACCGTGTTATTTAATCTCGAGGCCAACGACACCTTATACGTATATGTATATATATTCACTTCTCCATTCCCTTATACATACTTATAATAATCTTCACTTTTACTCGACACACGAAGCAGAAAATTGTGCCTGTGCAATATTTGACATTCCGCACATTCCAGATCGGAAAAAAAAATTCCCTGACTATGTATTTATTATCTGTTTGTACAAAAATCGTATATCTTTGAAATATTTTTTAAATTACGACACACGTCTATAAATTTCAGTATAAAAGAAAAAATAAATCGAAAATATACTTATTTGAGTCATCACATTTTTTAAATTCACAAAGGTTTCTTATTCATTCTTAAATATAGAAATTTTATTAAGATGTTATCGGAATAATCAGGTAAAAGTTGGTTACTAATAATATTTATCTGTTATTGATATAATATGGAAAATGATGTAATTGTATTTAAGGAAGCGGGGAAAATTTATTAATAGAATTAAAAACAATGGGAATTGACAGAAAAAAAAAATCTTTTATTATAAGAGGCGCGCAGAATACATTTTAAAGGATGATTGTTAAGAGCAGAAAGTGTCTCAATTTTTTCCCGGTAGCTATCGCGATTATTTACCTATTGATGATGATTCTCAGTACGTACGGGCATGCAGAAATTGATTTGGCGAAAACTTCCTTGTATTAGAACTTAGAGAATAACATATTCAAAGGAACAATAATTTTCCTAGATTCGTGCAATTGTGAGAAAAAAAATTGTTAATTATATTCTTTTCGTAAATTATTTTTTATATTTTGGTGGTGATATTTGATAGTGAAACATTTTTGTTTCGAAATACAGGTTTCGGATACTTTTTGGAATTTTTACGACTGTTTTCTAAACCGATGACTTTTTTCGACTTATTTTCAAAAAATGGGATTCTACCATTTTAATATTAATATATTAATAATATATTATAAATATTCTAACGAAATATTTTTTTTTTTGAAGGAAATGCAACTTTTTTCGATTTTTTTTTAGTGTGAAAAATAGCTGTAGTCGAATTTTTAAAGAATATTTTAAATTTTTATTTTTAATTAATTTTCATACGATAATTAAACTTTTGAATAATAATAATTAAAATGATTTTAAAGAATGGAAATATTGTAATTGAAAATAATTAAATTTTTCAGAACTATTTCTTACAAATTTTTGGAAATCGAATTTTTAAGCATTTAAATTGCAAATTTTGAAAATAACTGCATTTTGAAAAATTTCAATAATAAATCTTCAAACAAAAGTCTGAAAATAAAAATTCACTTCAAAAAATTTGATTTTTTCGAATTATTATTAAAATTTTTAAGAAATCGTGTATTTTTATGTTTTTTTATTAAAATTTTTCTTATTTTTATTGAAAGTAATTGATATTTTATTTTAAGTGTTTTAATAGCATGTTTGAGACTCAAATTTCGTAGAATTTTAATTGTAAATTTAGAAATTGATTCATTTTAAGTATTTTATTAAAATTTTCAGAAAATAATATTTTTTAGAATTTTAATTGTAAATTTTGAATTGATTAATTTTCAGCATTTTGATAAAATTTTTAAAAATCAAATTTTTTATAATTTTAATAGCAAATTTTGTAAGTAATTATATTCTGAAAAATTTCACAGAGAATTTTTCAAATGAAAATTAAAAAATGTAAATTATTATTGAAATTTAGCTCCAAAAAATTGTATTAAAAATTAAAGTATTTTTAAAAAAGTAATTCTTTCGAAAATTTTAATATTAATTTTTTTATAATACAAATTTTTCAGTATTTTCAATTTAAAATTTCAGAAAATTCGTATTAGAAAAAAAACAATTACATTAAAATTCTTTATGAAAATCAGAAAATCTTATTTTTTTAGAGAATTATTATTAAAATTTTGAAAAATTCATGTATTTTCATATTTGTAACGAAAATTCATCGTATTTTTATTAAAAATAATTAATTTATTTCCAGTATTTTTAATAAAATTTTTGAAAATCAAATTTTGTAGAATTTTAATTGCAAATTTTGAAAATAATTGAATTCTCAGAAATTTTAATGAAAAATTTTCAAATAAAAACTAATAAAAATTACTTTCCAAAAATGATATTAAAATATTTATTAAAAATGTAATTCTTTGGATTTTTTTAATTTAATTTTTTAAAATTTAATTATTTTCAATATTTTTAATTACCAAATTTCGGAAAATTCAAATACGTATCTTCTACGAAAAATAATTATACGTAAATTCACGTTTTTTGAATATTTAATTTTTTAGAATTATTTAAATTTTGGTGAAATTATCTTATTTTTATGTTTTTAATTAAAATTCTTCAAAAGCTATATTACTTTTTTTTAAAATTGTTTTCTAATAATTCTTATTGAAAATTCAATTATTTAAAAAAAATGTCTACTAAATTTCAATTATTGGGAAAATTGGCAAATATAAATAAATATTTGAAAAAAAACTTAATAGTTTTTTCAAATATTTATTTATATTTGCAAATTTTTCCAATAATTGAAAAAAAGGATTTAAATAAATTTTTAAAGAACTAATGTCAATTTTTTATTTTTTTACTACAATTTTTTGAAAATCATTTAATTTGGTTAAATATTTTCAATATTTCACCTTAGTAAAATAATCACGAAGATTTACAGTGACAATTATTATTGAAAATTGAATTTTGGTATTTCAATGAGAATGTAATAATCGATTCCAAGAAATTTTGGAAAATTATTAATTGATTTAGAGAAATAGTTGAGATAAGAATTCTAGAAAATAAATAAACTTTGAAATGTTTGCAATTGTAATTTTTAAAGAGAATTAAATTTCAAGTTTTAAATTGTAAATTCAGAATTTTGTTATTTCGGTAGAAAAATAAATGACAAGTGTTTAAAGTTTAAATATTTATTTAACAAAATTATTGAAGTTTTGAATAATTGACTTTAGAACTCAGTTCAGAGAAATAAAAAATAAAATTTTTCTGACAAATGAATTTTTTTTCGTATTTTTTTAAAAAAATACGAAAGTATTTAAAGTGGATTCAAGGCCTGGAAATATTTATTTCGATTTAAAATATTAGAGATATTGGAGATATTTTAGACATTTTGATCTATTTTGGTTTATACTTGTGTATGAAAAAGGATGTTTTTAATTAACTCGTATTTTTATGCATAGAAATTGAAACTAATCACTTTGGAGAATATTTCAAAGACTAAAATTCGATTTGGAAACAAAGTAACTAATTAATTATACAGTAAGTTCTTGATCTTGAAAAAATTGGACATCTCCTTTGCTTCATCCCACTAATTTTCTCTTTTAAATACGATTGAAAAGACTCGCCTGACTCTATCCCTTTTGCATCTATAAAAACAGAAGAAAACAAAAATAAAAAGGCAAATAAAAAAAAAAAATTGCATCTTCTCAAGCCGGGTGGGATAGAGAGAGGGATTGATGCATTCATCTACCTCCCGGTTTCTGTGTGTCTGTGAGAGTTGTTCCAATCGAAGGGGTTTTTTTTCTCTATGTGTACGTGGCACACACGTGTCTTCAATCAGTTCACACACTCTTGGAGAAATGTACATATGTATTTTTTTGTATATACATACACGAGAGATAATTCCACGAGGTACCTGAGTAGGCCGAGCTGGAATCAGGTATACAGTGAAGTACATATGTATAAAATGATCGACTCAGTGGTGGGGTTACGATGAGACGTTGGATGAATGAATGGACTTAAGACAGTCGTAAGAAGGCATTCACGAAACCACTGCTTTTCAAAATCCCTCTCTTTTCAACATTTCATTGTTGTTTCTTTTTTTCCCGAAATAAAAATCAGTTCGCGGTTTACCACCCTGGTAAATTTTCATTCATTCTCTTTGTGCTCCAAAAAAAAAGGGAAAATTGTCCTGTGAAATCTGAATTTTTCGTTTCGAATTTCCTCAGCAAAAAAAAAAAAATAATTGGATTCTTGAAAAATCTGGAAATTAATTTCCATTTTTCGTATTTGAAAAGAAAGAAGAGTTTTCGGAGTTGCTTGAAAGACTTTAAATACTTTTGGTGAATATTTGGATTTATCGGCAAGTTCCATTCGTATTTGTGCAATTCGGATTCGGAAGAATTTTGAGAATTGAGAAATAAAAGGATTTGGGAGAGGCAAAAGGGTGAGAGTCGATGGACTAGGAATTTCATTCTTTTATCATTCGTCTTTTCATGTGTCGTCGAGAGACGAAAGAGATGGAAATCTCGAGCAGACGAAGATGCCTCTGGCAGCCGTGGCTTAATTTCGAGACTCTTCGACCCTCCTATAAGTCGCGAGGTATGTAATTGCACCGCCACGATTTTGGAAAAATCCCTCTTTCGAAAATTAGGAACTTATATATTCCCTTTCGAAAAAAATAAGAAACTTGAAATTTTTATTTCTCGAATTTAGTAGACTAAACATTTTTTTGGAAAAAAAATTGTGGAAAAAAAATGGGGAAAAATTCAAAGTAAACCTGGTAATAATTTAGAAAATATCTTTTTTTTCATGTTCGTTTATATAATCATTTTGTAAAATGAGCGTAAACTCCAGCGAAACATCCGTTTAAATTAGGGGTGAAGAATATTTTCAACGGTTATACCCTGAAATCTCTTTAAGAAAAAGAAAAAGAAAAGAAGGAGAAAAAAAAAGTATTGTATATACGGAGAGAGTTAAAAAGTTAATTGAGATTCACATGGGATCCTTCATCTTCCTTTGGTCCATTCATCTTGGGAAGTCTCACTCTCTCATCCTCCTCTAAACCTGTTTTCCTTCTTTGACCATCCTCTCACGGCTATTAGGCACTTCCTGTCCCGTCCTGAGAACGGCGGGAACTGGACGTGTTTTCTACCCCCGGTTAGAATCTTCAGATCGATAGATTGGATTCCAATTTTAGCCCCGATCATGAAAATAATTCATCCATCTTCCAAGGGAAATACCACGAATACCAAGTTGTTTGGCTTCTGAATTTCTTGCTGAATGCTTGAATATTGTTGTGGAGAGGAAAAAAAATTAATGACTAGGATTTGATATTCTGTGGGACTGTGGCACACTGCAGTCACTTTTTTTTTATTATTAATAATTTTTTCAACGGAATTGAATATTTTAATTATTATTATTAATAATCTTTTGAACGGAATTGAATATTTTAATTACTATTAATAATCTTTTGAACGGAATTGAATATTTTAATTATTATTTATAATCTTTTGAACGGAATTGAATATTTTAATTAATGAAGCGGTCAAAGTGTCAACGGAAGCGGACTCTTTCTTTTTTTTCTGCTTTCCGGTTTTTGATCTGACTATTCAGGTGTTGATAAATTAAGGTAAACTCATATTTCATGCTTACTTTATTACAGAGGAAAGACCGAAGACAACAAGCTTACACCGGAAGCCAAGTAGTGCCTGGAGGAAGGAACGTAGACGAGACCCAATTCAATGTGAGGCCCTTGATATGTCCGCTGCCAGGGTGCATCACAGTAGGCCCAGTGTCATCGTACCCACGGCCCCCCAACCAGGTAAATTTCGAGGGAAAATACCAAAAATCGACAATTTTTTTTCCCCACCGGTTTTCTTTACTTGAACTCATTTTTATATCATTTGGAATTTATTGTAAATTTTGTATGGGAACAATATTTTCTAAAATATATAATTCGATCATATTTACACTGGAGCGAATTTTATATTGAATTTTATAACCACAGGCTTAGCACTCAACTATTAACTATGAATTTTTAAAAATAGTAATGAAAGTTTTTGCAAGAATTCAATTATTTTCACAAATGATTAAATTTGTTCGCAGGAATTTCATTATTTTTAATACAATTTTAATAAAACTTATCGATAGTAATTAATTATTATTTAAAAACAATCTTATAAAATTTTCCAAAAAAAATCAATTAAAAATCAATAAATTTTTTATTACAATTTTCAAAAATAATTCAATTCTTTTGAAAAATTTTTCAAAAGAATTGAATTATTTTTGAAAATTGTAATAAAAAATTCTTCTAAAGAATTCAATTATTTTCAAAAATTTTAATATAATTCTTCGCTGGAATTCAATTATTTTCAAATATAATACAAATTTTCATAGGAATTTAATAATTCAAGAAAAAAAAAAGAAAATTAGTTTCAAGAATTCAATTATTTTCATAAATAATAAAATTCTTGGCAGAATTTCAAATACTTTCAATATAAATTTATAATAATTGCTTGAAAAATGCAATTATTCTGAAAAATTTTATGAAAATTCTTCGAAAGAATTTAATTATTTTCAAAAATATTAATGCTGGAAATAATATTCGTTTTCGCAAGTAATACAAATTTGCACAGAAATTCAATATTATTAAAAAAAAAATTTTTAGAAAAATCGCTTTAAGAATTCAATTATTTTGCTAAATAATAAAAATCTGGACAGAATTTCAGTTATTTTTAATACAATTTTAAATTAATTCCTTTAAAAAAGCAATTATTCTTAAAAATTTTATGAAAATTCTTGGAAAGAATTCAATTATTTAAAAAAATTTTGATAAAATTCTTCGCTGGAATTCAATTATTCAAAAAAAAAAAATTCGTTTCAAGAATCCAATTATTTTTATAAATAATAAAATTTTTAGCAGAATTTCAATTGCTTTCAATACAAATTTGTAATAATTGCTTGAAAAATGCAATTATTCTGAAAAATTTTATGAAAATTCTTCGAAAGAATTTAATTATTTTCAAAAATATTAATAAAATTCTTTGCTCGAATTCGTTTTCACAAATAATACAAATTTTCACAGAAATTCAATATTATTCATAAAAAAAAAAAATTTAGAAAAATCGCTTCAAGAATTCAATTATTTTGCTAAATAATAAAAATCTTGTCAGAATTTCAATGTTTTCAATACAATTTTAAATTAATTCCTCGAAAAATGCAATTATTCTTAAAAATTTAAGAAAATTTTTCGAAAGAATTCAATTATTTAAAAACTTTTTGATAAAATTCATTATAAGAATTCAATTTTAGAAGTAATATATTAAATATGGGACATTCCACGTCAACACGGACAGAGCTCTAAACAAAAATTGCTTTGATGGATTTAAACGTTCTAGGGCTTAAAAGATTTCTACGTTCATGTACTTTAAGATGCCGATGGGCGTTTTTTGCAAAATTCCATTTCCGATGCCAATAGAACTGTCAAAAGTCAAAAGGTCCAAAAATCTCAAAATACTTTTATGAATTAAAAGGAAAAAACGAGGTAAATTATTCTGTAACTCATTCTTTATCAGTTTTTAGGGTTCCCGAATATAAATCTAAAGTTTTTTTTTTTAAATCCAAAATGGCGAATTCAATATGGCGGACAAAATTCAAATTTGATCAGATTCGATTAAAACTTGTTACTCGGGGGTTTTTAGGGTCGCTGATTACGAATCTGAAGTCACTTTTTAAAAATTCAAAATGTCGGATCCAATATGGCGGAAAAAATTTTCAAATTTGATCCGATTCCCTTAAAACGTGTTACTCGGGGGCTTTTGGGGTCGCAGATTATGAATATGAAGTTACTTTGTGTTTGAGACTTCAAATTCATAATCAGATACGCTAAAAACCACCGAGTAACACTTTTTAATTAAATCTGATCAAATTAAAAAATTTGATCCGCCATTTTGAATTTCTACAAAGTAACTTCATATTCATAATCTGCGACCCCAAAAGCCCCCGAGTAACACGTTTTAAGGGAATCGGATCAAATTTGAAAATTTTTTCCGCCATATTGGATCCGCCATTTTGAATTTTTAAAAAGTGACTTCAGATTCGTAATCAGCGACCCTAAAAACCCCCGAGTAACAAGTTTTAATCGAATCTGATCAAATTTGAATTTTGTCCGCCATATTGAATTCGCCATTTTGGATTTTTAAAAAAAAACTTTAGATTTATATTCGGGAACCCTAAAAACTGATAAAGAATGAGTTACAGAATAATTTACCTCGTTTTTTGCTTTTAATTCATAAAAGTATTTTGAGATTTTTGGATCTTTTGACTTTTGACAGTTCTATTGGCATCGGAAATGGAATTTTGCAAAAAACGCCCATCGACATCTTAAAGTACATGAACGTAGAAATCTTTTAAGCCCTAGAACGTTTAAATCCATCAAAGCAATTTTTGTTTAGAGCTCTGTCCGTGTTGACGTGGAATGTCCCATATATATTATATTATGAGTTATAAATTATAAATAATTGTATTTCAAAGAATTTTATTTTTTTACTTTTAAAAATTATTTTTTAATATTTTGAATTTTAATAATAATGAAATTTTAATAATTAAAGAATGGAATTTTGATAATATTGGTGAATTAAATTTTTAAAAAATTTAGAATTTAAATTATTACTAAAATAAGATCGAGTGCGAAGCCTGTAATTAATTTTATGACCGAATTTTTAATTAATTGGAAATTAAATTTTTTTTTACCGAATTGCACTTAGGAATATCAGTTAATTTTTTTAAGGAATTAGATTTAATGGATTAAAGAATTGATTTTTGGTTGGTTTTTTGAACTGATTTTGGATTGGTTTTTTTTTGGACCAAAGTTAAGAAATTTATAGATTATTTATTTAATTAGTTGATTTAATATAATTAACGAATTTAATTTAATTGGATTTTTCTTTGAATGGAATTTATATTATTTCAAGTCTTTAATTGACAGAATTTTTAGTAGCTCTGAATTTTCTTTTCATAGCACTTTTATTTAACACAATCTTTACCTAAAAGAATCTTTTATCAGCAGTTTTATTAAAGACAATTTTTAAATTCGCACTGGAATTTTTCCTGTGAATATTTGTTTTCTACAATGGAAATTTTATGATTTGAAAAATCTGCCGAAAGCAAAATGATTGGATAAATGGCAATTTAAGAAAAAATCTTCTAAGAAGTAATTAAATTTCTTTTAAAATTTCTATTTGTAATTTTGTTTTTTTCTAAATAAAAATTCTGCTAAAGGCAAATTCGATCAAATAAAAAAACAGGTGAAAAATTCAATTGAATGTAAATTCGGTTAATAAATTCGATTGAATAAAAATTCGTTTGGAAAATTCGACTGAATAAAAATATGAACAAAAAATTCGAAATAAAACTTTTACAGTAATGAATTTATCGAAATGGAAAATAAAATAAATTATTAATTAGGTATAAAAAATATGAGTGTAAATAACAGGCTTTAGGGGCAAGTTGTTCACAAGTCTTGAATTTATATCAAAGATAAACGAATGACATGCTAGAAAATCAATGTAAACATTCTCAACAAACTAAACTCTCCCGATGTCAATTAATCACACTTATCTTGAAGTTAAGTTTTATTATACATGACCCTTTTTTGCATACTAGGCACAACGATGGAGGACACGGCTGTTACGCCCACGGCAAGCGTAACACCATCTGCTGCTACCAGAGGCCAGAGAACTGGAATCAGAAATGCTGGAATTGTGAGTGATCCAGCGATAGATGAGCACTTTAAACGTTCTCTGGGTCTGAAAGAATATGCCGCTGTTTTTAATGCAACCTCTAATGATAAGGAAGCCGGTCTCAGTGGTAAATTATATTTTTAAATCTAAAAAAATTTCACCTGCTAAAATTTTTCATATCTCCAATTGAATGTTGTCCTTCAATTTTTTTTGTTCTGGGTGTCGAAATTAAATTCAAATTAGATCTCTTCTTTTTTTTCTTTCTTGGAGAATTTAATTTGAGTAATTTTTTTTCTTTTTCTTTTACAGTTGACGATCATTTTGCCAAAGCCCTCGGCGAAACCTGGACAAGGTTGCAGAAAACAGGTCGAAATAAGGATTCGTCTTAACCTTGAATTTGAAATTTGTTGAATTATTATACCAACGAGAAAAGAGGATTTTTGTCACGTTTGTTTATTGAAAATAGTTGTAATACTATTAACGGTAAAGCTATACGGAATGGCTGTTGGACTACATTATATTAATTATAAGTTATTATATTCAGGGATGAAAATTTATTTGAGGAAGAAGAAGGATAATTTTCAGATATAGAGAAAATGTTTATCTTTGTATATTATTTTTTGTTTGGTTTGACAAACCAAGAAAAAAAGTGCTTCCGGCGGAGAAAATTCTAAACTTTATCGGCGATTTAGTTTTGCAATAGAGGGAATGATACCTTAATTATCTGATGAATTATCTACTTCCATTGTAGAATAGTGATGCTGTGAGGCACACTAAGGCTGTTTGATTCAAGCTCAAGAGCTTTTGAATCTCGAAAAAAAATAATGAATATTGTAAATAGACGCTTTTCGTCAAATGCCGTAGTCCAAGTACGGAAATTTTAGGCAGTTATTTATTACTCCTTTTTGTTTAAGTGAAAAATTGCAAATTTACAGAATGGAAAATTTGTAAATTTGCAATTTTAGATTATAAAAATATTATATATATATATACATGTTGTAATTATTTACGTGAAGAGTCTATGTTATTAATTATTGTTAGGATATGTTGTAATTTACTTGATCGTGTGAATAAGTCTACGTATTGTAATACGGATTATTATTATTATATATATACAAATGATTCCTACCAATTTTGTGACATGTTGTAATATTCACAAAAGAAAAATCAAGACTGGAATAACAACTAATATTTGATGAATGAATTTCCATGAAAATCATTAAAGAATCAACTATAAAATTCATGTTTTCTTTTCTTTTTATGATCCTGAATACTTTTTTTCCTTGCGTTCAATTGTCTGTTGATTGATAAGAGGAGTAGTACTGATTTCAAATGGTGCTAGGATATTTATTTCGAACCCAGCACACACAGAAGTCAGTACCTCTACCTTCTTAATTTCGCCTCTCGATGGCTGAAATAAAGTTTATTTTTGTATTTACTATTTAAAATCTTAAAAATTAAAACGTTAATCGAGTTCAAATTGAAACAAAAATTCTGACAAAAATATTTTTTACATAGAATTTCTAGTATACAAATTTTTATTTTAAAAATTATTAATCAAGAAACTGAGAAAAATTTTTAAAGATGAAAATTTGTATCGAAGAATATTTTTGCTTCGAATATTGTTGATAATTGAATTATGAATTGAAAAAACGTTGTGAACTTAGCGTAAATTATAAAATACAATATTTTCTATATAAATTTATATTTATAATTTATTTTGTTTTTTAAGTTTATGCAATTATTATTTTACGATTATTTATTAATTTTTGTATTTATTTTCTAGATTTATATTTATTTTTTGTAATTTATATTGTTACTGAATTTCTATGTGAATTTGCAGATTTTGAGAAGAGGGTGAAAGAAAAGACTTCTAAGTTTGATCGTCCTTCGATAATAAATTATTTTATTACCTGATGCCTTCCTTTCGCCAGCGTCTTGGGCAATCGACGATATCAGTTTTCATGAGACCAGACTCATTTCTTTTTTAAATACAAAAGTGGTCGGCTGCTGGCAGCCGCACATTTAATATTCCATTTTTGTTGCTCCATTACTGATGATGATATTGATGATGATGATGACGAAAAAAGCCCTGAATTAGATGAATTTTTATTGTTGCTCCATTACTGATGATGATGATGAAGATGATGAAAAAAGCACCAAATTAGATGATTTTTTTGTCGCCCCATTTATTGATGATGATGATGATGATGATGATGATGAAGAAAATGATGAAAAAAGCACCAAATTAGATGATTTTTTTACTCCATTTTACTGATGATGATGATTATAATGTCGATGATGATGATGATGATGATGGAAAAAAATAAGCACCAAATTAGATGAAATTTATTTTGAGAGACTTTCGCACAAAATAGTGTTTAGTGAATAAGATGGAAATCATTAAAACATCGAAGCAAATGAGAAGAAAAAAATTACAGGAGGTAAATAAATTTAATTCGTATGAATTCAAACGATTATTTTAATTCACAAGTTTATAAAAATCGGACAATTAGTTTGTCAGTTAATTTCTTTAACGTTCAAAATTCGTTTCAAGGAAACAAAAATTAAATAAATCCACTTGTTTACTTTTTATTGATTCTAAATTATTAGGTGGAATCAATTTTTTCGAAAGAGAGAGAAAGAGAAAATATATTACTTTTATTAAATTTTTTCAAATTGGAAATTGAAAATACTCCAGAAAATGTAGAGTTTTTTTTTACTTTTAAGAAAAATGAAATTTGTTTCAAGTTCAGAATTCGTTTCAAGTAGACAAAAATTAAATTTTTCTCTTGTTTACTTTTTTCGATTCTCAATTACTAAAGTTGATAGAAATTTAAAAAAAAAGAATAATGTAGAAAGAATCCAAAAGAGAAATATATTTTACTTTTTTTTTTTTAACTCTGTATTGGATTTAAAAACCTTCTAAATACGTAGGGGATTTTTTATTTTAAGAAAAGTGCATTTTGTTTCAATATTAAAATTCGTTTCAAGTAAACAAATATTAAATGGATTTTTTAGTTTAGATTTTTAAAAAGGATTTTTCTTTTGTTTACTTTTTCTGATTCTAAATTAAAAAAGTTGAAGCTAGTTTTTTTATAGAAAAATTTAGAAATAATTAAGGAACGATAATATTTTTATTTTTCAACTCTTGGTTTGGAAATTAAAAACACCGTAAAATGTGGAGGAGATTTTTATTTTAAAGTAAAAGATGGATAGAAAAAAAGAGTAAACTTTTTGAAATCCTACCTTTTTTTGTCGACAATTTTTTTCCAATCGATCTTTGAACTATTTCTTTCGTCCACATTTACGAAAGACTGATTTTGAAAGATTATGAAGTATTCGAACTGCTTGTAAATTCTAAATTGTAATGAATTTGAAACAAGTTGAATTAGAAAAGAGAAATTTTTTTCTCTCTCTCTCTCTCTCGATGAAAGAGAAAAAATTGTTCGCACGTGCAAGAAGCAGGTTGTTTGTTTGAAGAGACACGAGAGGACAGTTAATAAAGTTATTGTATAGTAGGTGGGCCCAGGCGAAGAGGCCAGACTGTCCCAGCAGGCGCTCGGATGGCTTCCTATATGCAGGCAGTCTGTTCACTTGCCGTAAAGCAAAATGGTAACTTAATATTAGACTTGAATATAAGTACGGTAATTCCACACCATCGTCTAAAGTAAGCCTACACCAACCCCGCCATCAGTTGGTCCCCACCCTCCCTCTTCCCTTCTTTAAACGCCCTCGAGCGTGATAATGCAATGGTCACTAGATATCTTCTAGGTGCGAATTGCAACCACCTATTTTTCTTTTCTTTTATATTCGAAAAAAAACAATTTACTTGAAAGAAATTGCCAACGTGCTCATCCCTCTCGACCTTGTTGGATTAGTTTTCCTTTTGTCTTTCTGTGCCTACAAGATTTCTTTATGCCTTTGTTGCATTTTTTTTCCTAGCTTCTTGCGTTGTTTAAAATTTAAATAATTCCTTCTTTACAAATGTTGACAAAAAAATTTGTATTTCGAAAATTCTATTTTTATTGAATTTCTTGCCAAGAAATATTCTAAACTTACTGTATTGTTTACTTTTTTTAATTGTTGACCATTTTCAACGTTTGTTTCAGTTTTTAAATTGGAGAATTGAGAAAATATTTTTAACTTCTGTTTCATTTCGTTCAAATAATAGGGAAAAAATGTGAACAACTTTAACTTTGGTCAATTTACCTAAATTGTATTCTCACCCTCAAAAAACAATTTTATTGACTATCAATTGAATATCAATATAAATTTTCCTTAAATTAAATTTTATGGATTAATTTTATTCATTTCGAAAAATAAACCCTTACCGAAAAATTATTCAGCTCGAAATAATAAACAAAAATTATTTACTAGAAGTAAAAAATCGCAATAATAAATGTTTACAAGTGAATATTAATTTTGATTTTCGAATTTAATTTTTAAATTTGCAACTTTATTTGTCAACCAGTCAAAAATTGATTATTTAATTTTTAAGTTTAGAAGAAAAAATTAATTTTAGATTTTACAAATAAAATTACATTGAGCAGAAAGAAAATTTGTTCACCCCAAGACAGAAATTGAAATTGAAACAGAAAAAAAATTGAATCAGAAATTTCTATAAGTAAATCTTCGTTCTTTTATGACTATCGTAAAAAATGTACTGACTCCTTTTCTTTTATTTTACAGGTCATTGAAATACAGTCATTGGTTGATTACGGGATAAATTGTCGTTATATTGACAGAAAAGTGACATTACTGTTTATTTATTATAAGTCTCAGGCGTATCTTGTTTCGGAATCAGACCCAGGTGACCACAACTTGGCATCGTTTTCAAGTTTTATTATCTAAAGTTACGGACTTGTGCTTACGTGCTCTGGACATTCATTATGCATAACAAGTGAGAAAAATAATTTTTTTTTTAATACTTTTTTTAATTTTACAAAAAGAGGGTAAAAAAAAAATTTTTTTCTCGCAATATAATTGACATTAAAAAAATAGGCGTCGCGACGCTGCAAAAAGTTGCACTCATAGCCTTGCATCGAAATCCCTCGATCGTCCCCCTAACGTGTAGTACTACTATCCATACACAGCCCATGAAAAATTAACGACGCGTTCAAATCTCCGTCTTTCAGTGAACAGATGTTCATAATTATTGTTATGTTCAAGTTTACGTCACCATTTTCCAGCGGTTTATTGACTTTAATTTTATTTTAGATCTTGATGAATTGGATAATGTACATGCAAATGATAAGGAATGGCGAATTTTTGTTGTGACATGCTTTGAGAATAAGGGTCTTTTTTTCCTACGTATATATGTATTTCAAAATGTGGATAATGTAATCTCAATTTTGAGTAATATTTTTTTTGGAAAAAATGAATTTAATAAGAAAATTACATTTTTCCAATATCTTCAGAATAGTT